CCTTTCTACCTCATGCTTTTGCCCACTTCTTCCGACCGATGTGTAGCTGCACGCGGGCTTCGGCGGCCACGAGGTCGGCAAGCCGCGTGCAGTCTGTTTGGCCAGGCCGGGGACCGCCAAACTTTCTCTAGACACCTGGCTCTCAGCAGGGCAGGAAAGTACCCGTGGAGGCTCTGTCCAGCCGACGCTCTGGCAACATAACGATCAAGGGCGCGTCCGCGAGAGCGCTGCTCGAGTCCTCCATCGAGGAGCGGCAGGTGGACTTATCGAATCTGTTGCCATACGCGCATGGAGCTGTGCACGTGCATGCGTGCGCCACGAGCGCGTGCGGCTTGCATGATATGCGTGGAGGCTTCGGGGGGAAGGGCGCGGTTCTCGGTGTGCAGCAGTCTCGCGTCCGAGTGGCGGAATGTGCACCCACGGGTATGTCAGCAGTGTCAACTGACACATCAGATGCGATAGTTTTGCCCGCTGCTTCGATTTCGCCCTACGCGTACATGGGCATAGATGGCTAGTTACCTCGATGGTTTCCCGCATGGATCCAAAAGAGTGGGTTCTTGCATTCTCGATGTGCGCTGGATGTGGTTCAACTCAGGAGGTGCAATCTATTTTCTGCAGACGTGGCACAAAATATCGTATGCACTATGTGCTGTGAAACCTACGTAGTCACAGCTATGTGGTGCCAGTTGTGGGGTGCAACATGTGCGGTGCAAGATTCTGAATGCAATCTATGTGGTTGAAGCTATCTGGCGCAATCTGTGTAGAACAATCACTGCAGTGCAGCTCTTCCGTGGAAATGGCAGCCGTCAACTCCAACGCTCGTGTCAACATTCCACCCTTCCACTCGCAACGTGTTGGCAAAGCTCATGTGGCCATGATTTCAACGAGCGCACGGGCGCGTGGAGCTTAATTGCGCAGACAAACCTGACCTGCAGGTCGCGAGCTCGTGGTGGTGATGGTGACGACCGCGACGCCAACGACGATGGATAACGCGCACGCCATTGGTAGTGACAGTGGAGATGAGGACGATACGATGTCGACGGCGACGATGGTGACGGTGATGAAGCTGATGGTGGTGGCAATGACGGTGGCAACGATGATGCTGGCGAAGGTGATGACAATGGTGTCGGTGATGATGGTGAGGATGATGGTCAAGTGCCCGCGCGCATTTCTTTGACGAGGGCGACGGCCGGGGCTGATGCCGACGATGGTGATGAGGATGATGACGATGGCAATGATGGCGCTGACGGTGATAATAACTATTGCACTGGTGAGTATGATGAAGTGCGCGCACGCACAACTTCGGACACCATGGCATGCTCTCATGGATGGAAGCCATTCAGTAGCAGGGTCCCCATGGCGGCGCCGCCCCATATTGGCGCACCCCCCGCACGCTTCGTTGCCCCATAGGAAAGTCCGCCGAAGTCCCCATTGGCAGGGTCCACATGGCGGCGCCGCCCCATTTTGGCACACCCCTCACACGCTTCGTGGCCCCATAGGGAGCTCCACCGAAGGCCCCCTATAGCAGGGTTCTCATTGCGGCGCCGCCCCATTTTGGTGCACCTCTCACACGGTTCGTGGCCCTATGAGGAGCTCCACCGAAGGCCACCGTGTCAGTATCCACATGGCGGCGTCGCCCCATCTTGGCGCACCTCTCACACTGTTCGCGGCCCTATGAGGAGCTCCACCGAAGGCCCTAGTGGCAGGGTCCACATGGCGGCGTCGCCCCATCTTGGCGCACCCCTCACGCGGCTCGCGGCCTCATAGGGAGTTCCACCAAAAAAAAAACAAAACTAACCACCAAAAAAAAAAACAAAAAATAAAAAAAAACCAAAAACAGAAGAAACCAAACACAAAAACCAAAACCAAACAAAAAAAAAAAATAAATAAATCAAAAAAAAAAAAAAGAATCAAACAATCCAAATCACCAAGTAAACACAAAAAAAAAAAAAAAAAAAAAAAAAAAACCAATAACATAACCCAAAATAAATCAGAAAAAACATAAAAACACCAAAAGAAAAAAAAGAAAAAAAAAAAAACCATACCAAAAAAAACACCACAAAATAAAACCAACGTACAAAATCCAAAAAAAAATAAAAAAAAAAACACGAAGGCCCCAGTAGCAGGGTTCTCATGGCGGCGCCGCCCCATGTTGGTGCACCCGCATCACGGTTCGTGGCCCCATAGGAAGCTCCACCGAAGGCCCCAGTGGCAGGATCCACATGGCGGCGTCGCCCCATCTTGGCACACCCCTCACACGGTTCGCGGCCCTATGAGGAGCTCCACCGAAGGCCCCAGTGGCAGGGTCCACATGGCGGCGTCGCCCCATGTTGGCGCACCCCTCACACGGCTCGTGGCCCCATAGGGAGTTCCAGCGAAGGCCGTGGCAGGGTCCACATGGCGGCGCCGCTCCCATTTTGGCGCACCCATTGCACGGTTCGTGGCCCAATAGGGTGCTGTCCGAAGGCCCAAATGCTAGCGTTCGCATGCGGCCACCGCACCCATGTTGGCACACCCCTCACACGTTTCTTGGCTTCATAGGGAGCCCCACCGAAGGCCCAAATGCCAGCGTTCGCATGCGCCCACCGCAGCCCCACCGAAGGCCCAATTGCCAGCGTTCGCATGCGCCGGCCGCACCCATTTTTGGCACACCCGCACACGTTTGGTAGCCCCACAGGGAGCTCCACCGAAGGCCCAAATGCCAGCGTTCGCACGCGGCCACCGCACCCATTTTGGCACACCCCTCAAACGCTTGGTAGCCCCATAACGAGCCCCACCGAAGGCCCAACTGCCAGCGTTCGCATGCGCCCACCGCACCCATTTTGGCACACCACTCACACGTTTCATGGCCCCATAGGGAGCTCCTCTGAATGCGGTGCATACAACGACGGCGTTCACAACTGCATATGGTTGTGTTCTTCGCCAGGCTTATTTTGTTTTGTGTTCGAGGCACTCGAGTTTGAAATCTGTACGGGGCCTTAGGTTTTATGTTTAAGCTGTGAATCAAAAATAGCATGTGCGCGCGACGGCGCGCGCGCATCCACTTCGTCCCATCCGTGGTTCTTGAACAAGGATGAGTTGTCATAAGCGACTGCGAGCGTATAGCATTTGTTGCAAAGGATGAAGGGGGGATGATCAGCGTCGACCTGGGATGGTCGGAGCTCATTTTTTGGATGGACGAAGGGGCTGAATCATATGCAAATTGCAACACGAAAAGGTGTCGTGTGACGTCCATGGGGGGAAGGAAGTGGATCATGACACTTCTTAGAAAGAAGAATTCATGTTGCCGGCATCCGCGCATGTTTATCTCCACCGCTCGCGGAAGCATCCCACCCACCCACCTGCAATGCGTTGGCACATTTTAGTTGGAGGACGGCAACATGGATAACGACGACGATGATGGTGTTCATGACGACTATGAGGACGACGGCGATGGTGATGGTTATCAAGACGATGGTGATGTTGATGGCGTTGGCCATAATAACGCTGACAATGGCGATGGTGCTGGTGAGGATGACGACAAACTGCGTGCGCGCAGGAGTTTGACCAGTGCCGCGGCATCGACGATCCAGATGATGTCGATGATAGTAATGATGACGACGGCGATGATGATGATGATGATGATGATGATTATGATGATGATGATGATGATGATGATGATGATGATGATGATGATGATGATGATGATGATGATGGCAATGCTAAGTTCCTCAAGGCGCACTGCCCAACAAAAAAGTCAAACCGTATAGTGCCATCTGGTCAACCCCGCCATTCTGCTTGAGTGGTGGACAAGAGGCCTACTGAGGTCTTTTTGGGTCCTTTTGGAATCCTTGTGGAGGCATCTTTGAGGCTTTTCGGTTGGCTCTAGAGGGTTTCCTGGGGGCTTTGGGTGGCCTTTGGGGGCTTCTGGGGGGCCTCTTGGGGTCCTGATGGTGGTTTCGGAAATTTTCTGGGGTGGAGGATTCCAAATGTCAGTTCGAGATCCTATTTGATGGGTAATCTTGGAGGCTTCTGGAACCCTTCTTGGGGCCTCCAAGGCGGCCCTATCGGCCTCGAAGACAGCCCTGGAACGGCCCATCGGGGCCATCTTACGACACGTGGGCCGTGCGAATCGTGAACTCCAAGCCACGCCCCCCATGCTTTGGAAAAAGTTACGCGACGCACCCGGAAACACTCAGATATTCTTTGAGTGGGGGGCCTCGGGCCCAAACAAGCCGTTCACGGTAGTCAGCATTCAGAGTCTCATTGAATTTCAGGGCGATCCATTAGTGCCAACGGGACGGTGGCGGATCTATCTAACCACGGACAGACCTTGACATGACGACGGGACAATCGGGCGACGACCACGAGGCAGCCACGTGACAGCCGAGCGGGATTGCCGCACGGGACAGCCGTACAGGACAACCACGGAATCAACCACGGGATTCTTTTCCAAAGACAAGCAGGCTCAACCACGGTATAACCGAACACACAAGTGTGGGGGACGTGTGACAGGCTCGGGACAACCCCGGGGCGCATGCCGCCAGGCACGCGGGGAGGGGGGGGGATCGGGAAGCAGTTCCACGTGATGTCCCCCTTACTGCACATCCTCGTTCAGCTCCACCTGGTGCACACGCTCGGCACGAACCGAGACCGAAACCAGCTTCCTGGTGGGGCGGCTTCCCTCTCCATTCCAAGCTGCAGTCAGAGTGCGGGTTAGGGACGGATCGCTGCCTCAGAGCATCCTTACATCCTTCGGTTCTGGGCATCCTCGGCAGAGTTTCTGTTTACTCGGTCCAAAGGTATCCTTGCGGGCGCGCGCATCCTTCGCGTTCCAATGGCCTTGCATCCTTAATCCCAACCCTTCTGACGTGTTGTGACTGTACCGCCCCCCCCCACACACACATCCTCACCCCTCACATCCTATGACTACGTGCGGCAATGAATGAATCAGCATCCGCACGCACACTCGCAAGCCAAGCGCGGCGGGGGGAGCCACGGCAAGCCGCAGCAGAGAGGAGAACCAGTTGACCATGCGCTCGCTGGGGAGCGACGCCAAGCCCCGCGTGACTATCACAAGGGAGGGGCGCCAGCTGAAGATCTACGGGCGGGACGAGAGGCTTTTCGGCACCCTGGAGCCCGTCAGCGGCCCCAACGACTTCGCGCTGCTCGTGGACCCCCGTCGCGCCAGCGCCGCCCACCTGCCACGGCCCCCTCAACCACCTCCCCTCGTCCTCCTCCTCCTCCTCCTCCTCCTCCTGCTCGTCGTCGTCCTCCGCTTCCTCCCCCCCTCCAGAGCCTTGGCCATCCGTGCAAGGCTACTGATCGTCCTCATACGAAACCTGAGAGGTGCTGTCCCGTTTGTCCATGGGGCCTCCCCCCCAAAGCGGTGGAAGCTTCCTTGTGATGCGATTTCGAAGCGCACACGGGCAAGACCTGGTCTCGACGGGACGGCGAGCGAGGGGGGAAGTGAGAAGGAGAAGGCTCTCTCAGAAGGCGGCGGGGCTTCTCAGAAGCGCTCCGGCCTTCTGCGAGGCTGTCTTCGGGGAAGGGCTCCGAAGACGCCCGAGAAGGCCGGGGGACTTCCGAGCCTTCTGAGAGGGCCCGCCCCCTCGCGCTTCCCCCTCGGGCTGGCCGCCCATGATCTCCACGGGTTTCCGAACCGAGCCGAATCGCCCGTGGCGTCAGAAGCGGCTCCGCTTCCTCCTCCTCCTCCTCCCTCCTCCTCCTCCTCTGCTCCTCCTCCACCTCCCCTCCTCCTCCTCTTCTTCCTCCTCCTCCTCTTCCTCCTCCTCCTCCTCCTCCTCCCCCTCCTCCTCCTCCTCCTCCTCCTCCTCCTCCGGCGGGGCCTCCTCCGCTGCGCCGACGACCCGCTCCTGCGGCGTGGCAGCCCTCCGAGGCGCGCCCGCGCCGCGGCCTGCCGAGCTGCCGCCTGCCGCCCCCGCCGCTTGGCCACGGGGCACGTTCCCAGACGTCCGGCCGCTCAAATTTTTGTTCGACGCGTGGGCCCTCCTCCTCCTCCTCATCATCATCATCCTGCTCCTCCTCCTGCTCCTCCTCCTCCTCCTCCTCCTCCTCCTCCGTCCGTCCTGCTCCTCCTCATCCTCCTCCTCCTCCCCCTCCTGCCCTCTCCCTCTCTCCTCCTCCTCTCTCCTCCTCCTCCTGCTCCTCCTCCTCCTCCTCCTCCTCCTCCTCCTCTCCTCCTCCTCATCATCATCAACATCAGCATCATCATCATCATCATCCATCATCATCATCATCATCATCATCAGACATCATCATCATCATCATCATAATCATCATCATCATCTTCATCCGTCTCATCCTCCTGCTCCTCCTCCCCCTCCCACTTCCCCAGGGCCGGCTTCTCGTCCCGAGTCGTTCTTTGGACGGCCCGGAGGCCCGGCCGAGGGCCCCCGGGTTGGCCGAAGATGGCGAGAAGCTTCCCGTGGCGACGTTTTTACCACGCGAGGGCCCCCCCTCAGGGGCGCGGGGAGAGAGAGGATCTGCTGCGCGGCGCGGCAGCTCCTCCTCCTCCTCCTCCTCCTCCTCCTCCTCCTCCTCCTCCTCCTCCTCCTCCTCCTCCTCCTCCTCCTCCTCCTCCTCTCCCCTTCCTCCTCCCCATCCTCCTCCTATACCCTCCTCCTATCCTCCCTCCTCCTCCTCCTCCCCTCCTCCTCCTCCTTCTCCTCCTCCTTCCCTCCTGCGCCTCCTCCTCCTCCTCCTCCTCCTCCTCCCCTTCCTCCTCCTATACTCCTCCTCCTCCTTTTCCTCCTCCTCCTCCTCCTCCTTTTCCTCCTCCTCCTCCTTGCCTCGGGCTCCAGCGGAGCCCGCCGACGGCGGCAAGGGCCGCCCGAGGGGGCCCGCGCCCACGTCATCCTCTGGAGGAGGGGGGCGTGGCGTTGCTCGACGTGTGGGCGAAAGGCCTTCTCCAGCAAGACCAGGCGCGCGCTGGCGCGCAGGCCCTGCCAGGGTAAGATGAGGGTGGATCGTCGGTGGGGTGTCGGGCTGGGGCGGGGGGAAGGGGAAAGTGACATTTCTCCCGCCCTCCGCGGTGCGGCCCTGGGGCACGAATTGCACCGCGTGGGCCAGTATACATTCTGCGATCGGTGCGGTGTTTTCTCGAGCGAGAGGGGGTGCAAGCTCCTGGGTGCCTGCGTGGGGGCCCCTGCGAACCCCACCGCAGGGTACCGCCTCTCGCTCCTGCGCCGAGGCAGGAATCCTTACGCAGTGAAGGTCTCCCTGGAGGCGGTACCGCGCTCCCTTGTACAGGAGGAGTGCGCAGCTTTCTGGGAGTGCCTCATGGACTGAATCAGGAAGGGGCGGGATGGCACCCCGAGGCGGAGTGCCCGCCCATCCGACTCACATGTGGCGAGCTGGGGCGGGGACCGCAAGGCATCGTTCTTGCAGCAAAAAAACATCTTCCGCCTTTTCCTCCTCCTCCTCCTCCTCCTTCTCCTCCTCCGTCTCCTTTTCCTCATCCTTTTCGTTTTCCTCCTCCTCCTGTCCCTTTTCCTCCTCCACCTTCTCCTCCTTGTCCCGTTCCTCCTCCTCTGCCGCAGTTACATACTATGAATACTATTATCATATCTCCCCTGATGACGTCCGGAAGATGTTCGGCTCCCCTCCGCGTATGTTTGTTTGCACATAGGATTCCTTGTAGTTGGGGTTTCGCTTGCTTGTTTTCATAATGTTGTTCCCGCTGAAGCGTTGGCCTCATTGTCGGGCTCCCGCTCGTTCCGAAACGTGCTCCCGTTCCAGCGCTGGCCTCATTTCCACACGCTTCCGCTCGTTCCGAATCGTGCTCCCGCTGCAGCGCTGGCGTCATTATTTCCAGAGCCATACCACGGCATACAACGCAATGCTATGTGGTGTTCCGTTGCGTTCAGCTGCAATGGTAGGATAAGCAGTGCTTGACTTCGCAGTGCCACGCCATGCTATGCCATGCTACGTGTTGATATCCAACGCCATGCTATGGCATGTTCTGTTATGTGCCGCTGTGCGATGCCATTATCTGCGTTGCAACACTTTGTAATGCACTTTTGCACTACGCAACGCCACACCATGCTATGACATACTACACTCTGCCTTGCTCTTCTACGCCCTGCTAGGCTGTGCTCTACGATGCATCGCGCACCCTCTCGGGATCATTGCCCTGCTCGACATCCCACTGTGCGAATAGAGAGAGGAAATCTAAGCCATGATAAGGGATGGGAGGGAGGGGTAGGGCGTCAGATACGAGATATGACGCGAGCGAACCTAGCTTGCCTCGCACCCCTCTCTCTGGTGCCGTTCCCCTCGAGTCATTGCAGTCACGACGGCAGGTTTTTCATGATTTTCGGCCTCTGGGGGCCATCGCCAGGCCTCGGGGCCGTCAAAAACAACTCGGGGTGAAAAACCGGTTCCGGGGAATGGGTCGAGACTTGTGGGGGGGGGAATGGATCGAGACCTCTGGGAGTTGACGATGTGAGCATGGGAAATTGGCCTTGTCCAGGGGGGTGCCCCCGCGAGGGCGCGAGGGTTTCCTCGATCCTCGATCTTCGAAAAAGAGGGCCCTCGAAAAAGGTGTTGTGAAAAAGCGAGGGCAAACCCGAGCTCTGGCGAACTCGATCCTCATCCTCGTCGATCCTCGACCCTCGATTCTCGACGCTCGATCCTCGATCCTCGATCCTCCTCCTCCTCCTCCTCCTCCTCGATCCTCCTCCTCCTCCTCCTCCTCCTCCTCCTCCTCCTCCTCCTCCTCTCCTCCTCCTCCTCCTCCTCCTCCTCCTCCTCCTCCTCCTCCTCCTCCTCCTCGGTTCTCGATCATTGATCCTCGATCCTCGATCCTCGAGCATTGCGCTTCCCCGGCTGAAGCGCCTGGACTCTAGCGCTGCCGGTTTTGGGCGTCCAGTCGGCCCCAGAATTGGTGGCCGTGGGCATTCCCAGACATCCCGCGTCTCGAGAAAATCGAGACGGAGATGCTTCCATCGGTGTCGCTCTCTCTCTCTGAACCCAAAGCGACATCGACATCAATGTTCCACGCCACGCAAGGATTTCTTGCATCTGCGCTGGACCCCCCAGGCGGCGTTTCCGGCGCTGCCCCTGGCGCGCTCCGCGCGCTGGGGAGGGGGGTTCAGCGCAGATCCAAGAAATCCGAGCAGACCGTCAAAAGCTTGTGTTTGTGCATGTCTTGGTTCTTCTGCCCTCGTGGCCCTTCCCGGGCCTCGGGACTTCCAAAGGACGACTCGGGATGAAAACCCAGCCCTGGAGAAGTGGTCGAGAGGTCGGGGGCCCACGTCTAGAACAAATTGAGACGCCGGATGCCTGGACTGGTGTTTGAGCCCGCGTGCAGAAGCAGCCCGAGACGTCCGAGCGCGAGGCCAGAGTTCTGAGCCACCGCTCCGCGAGGTGTGGGGCCTGCGCGCGCTGTCCGCACGACCAGCCAACCACCATGGAGATTACAGCCTGCCCGGGTAGCCTGTGACTGCGCTTCAGTCGGGCCCGTCCCTCTACAGGAGGAATATTCAGAGATAGTCCAAGAACAGTCCTGGGACTCTTTTTTGAGTATTGTTTGACCATTTTGGAGTATTTTTTAGTGTATTTCTTAGTTTTCGTCGAAAATCCCCCTGTAGGGGGACACGCCCGACTTAAGACTACGCAGGCACGCAGCAGCCACCACTACATCAAGCACCGAGCCGTTCGTCCCAAATGTCTCGCGCCTCTGAGGCGCGAGACGCGCAGCCGTGTGGCCTGGGCCGGGCCCGACCTGGCCATGGGCAGCACCGCCACCGAGAAGCCATCGGGGGGGAGGGGGGCCATGGCCAGTGGCACGACCGAGCGCCGTCCTATACCGGTTGACGCTCGTGCGTGCCTCCGCTCAGGGGTGCCCCCCCCGCCGCGCCCCACGTTGGGTTCTCGGAGGCGGCGGCCGCTGAGATCCGACGACGCGAGAAAATGTGCAGCACCGTGAGAAATCACGACCAGACGCTGTGAGAAATCACGACCAGAGCCCCTGACCCCATTTTTGTGTCATTTTTCGAACAGGATCGATATGTGAGGGCCCTGGGGCCCGAAATCGGGCAAAAAATGCCCGGCTCGAAACAAATACAACGCCAGGATCTCCAGACCCCCGTCATCATGATTTGGTTCACAAAAGTCGATCATCAGAGGTCTGAACCCATTTCCTGGGACGGCTTCTCATCCTGAGTCGTGTTTTGACTGTCCCGAGGCCTGGTAAGTGGGATGACCGCGGAGTGTTGCTAAAGGAATGGGGAGGTCATACGTATATTCTAAGGTGTGTTACATCTGGCTTAACATAGCTCATAACTGGATTAAGCATGCGTTAGTTGCCGAAGACCTGGACTGCGTGGTCTGCGCCCACTTAGCGGAGTTGTCGAACCCACCCAAGTCACTTAAGGCGCTTGTAGCCCACTAGTACTTTCGTTCATGCCAGATATAGCCCACCTTGGCATCCACGTGTAACCTCTCTATCCCCTTCGCAGCCTCCGCGGTCATCCAAGAAGGGACCCCAGAGGCCGAAACTAGCAAACAGCATCTCGTCGTGCTTGTGCTTCATGACTCGAGACGGCCTGGATGCGTTCGGGCATCTCATCTTTCGATCGAGGCAGGAAAATGGTTCTCAGGGGTCCGTGCAGCTCCCCAGAGTCGGCCAGACGTCAGAGTGACCGTCCGCCGGAGTGGCCTTTGCTGCGGGCACAAATGGGTCCACAGAGAGCTTCATGCGAAACGGTAGCAGCGGCTTGCGGCCCACGTTTGGCCACCCCGCGTCCCCCGTTAAGCCGCGCACCAAAGATCACTCTTGCCTAGGGTCACTCTTGCGTGCACGGTAGGTTCATGCGACGACTGCGCGTTGGCCACGCTGGCAGAGGCGTTCAATGTTGAGTTCTGCGACGCGGAAGCACCGAGGGACACGGTGGCGCCAATGGGCCCGACGGAATTGAATCTTGAACGATCGGGGTCGCGATTCGCAGGCGATGATTCTCGCTCAATCCCCGACTTCCGCCCGAAAAGCTTGGCATCTCAGAAGAACGGGGAAACCTTGGGATACACCCCAGGGGGGCTTTACGGACGCACCCCTATCGAGGATGGACGCCCCCCGATCGTATGTCCCAGGGTTGGGCCCAACATGTCTAGTCTATTCGAAAATCCCGCGGCGCCTGGGATAGGGGTCGACGTATCCCCTGCTCACGATCGGTTCAAGGCTGAACGATCGACGCGGTGTCGAAAACCTCTGCACGCGCCGACGCCGCACGGACCTTCCCCGAGATCCGACGTTGCGAAAGAATTGCAGCATCGTGAAACAACCACGACCGGAGCCCCAGACCCGATCTTTCTGCGTCATGTTTCGAGCCGGATCGATCTGTGAGTGTCCCGGGGCCCGAAATGGGGCGGAAATGCCCGGTGTGAAAAAATTGCACGCCAGGATTTTAGGGAAAACCATTGCGCGCGGCGACGCCGCACAGACTTGCCGCGGCCGACGGAAGCGGGGGGATCCGGGCGCACTGCGGCCACCAGGATTTTGAGCGCTAGAGACGGGGGCAGAGCAAACGGGGGCACGGGGACCGCCGATTCTCACGTTTGGCTATGCCCTCGTTTCGGGGGCCCCCTCGGGCCCCCTGGGGACTCTTGGGCCGTCTTGGAGCTCACACTTTGGGGCTTCTGCGCCTCAATGATGGCAGGAGCCGACATCGAAGGATCAGATAGCCGCGTCGCTACGAACGCGTGGCTGCCACAAGCCATGCATCCCTGGCGGTAACTTTGCCGACGCCCCTCCTCCCTGGGCGCCCTAGACGGGGGCACAGTAAACTGGAAAGCCCAAGCCCCGGTTTGGCTAAGCCCTGTGGGAAAAACACACAGTGGGAACAAAAACACACACAGTGGGAAAAACACACACACAGTGGGAAAACACACACAGTGGGAAAAACACACACACACACACAGACTGTGTGTGTGGTTTTCCCCACAGACTGTGTGTTTTGTGTGTGTGTGTTGTGTGTGTGTGGTTTTTCCCTGTGTGTGTTTTTCCCACAGTGTGTTTGTTGTGTGTTTTGTGATTTTTTTCCCACAATGTGTTTTTCCCGCTTGCGAAGCCCCGAAGGACGGGCAGGTGAAGATGAAGGTGCTGGCCGAGCCCGGCCCGGAGCTGCACTTTCGGGCCTTCGCCACGAGCGGCAGGCTCGCAGGGGCTCCTCCTCGTGCTCCCCCTCCCCCTCCTCCTCCTCCTCCCCCTCCTCCTCCTCCTCCTCCTCCCTCCTCCTCTCTCCTCCTCCTCCTCCTCCTCCTCCTCCTCCTCCCTCCCCTCCTCCTCCCCCTCCTCCTCCTCGTCCTCCTCCCCCTCCTCCTTCCCCCCCTCCTCCTTCTCCTCCTCCTCCTCTCCTCCTCCTCCTCCTCCTCCTCCTCCTTCTCCTTCTCCTCCTCCTCCTCCTTCTCCTCCTCCTTCTCCTCCTCTTCCTCCTTCTCCTCCTCCTTCTCCTTCTCCCCCTCCTTCTCCTCCTCCTCCTCCTTCCCTCCTCCTCTCCTCCCACCCCCCCCCCCCTCCTCCTCCTCCTCCTCTCCTCCTCCTCCTCCTCCTCCTCCTCCTCCTCCTCCTCCTCCTCCTCCTCCCCCTCCTCCTCACTTCTCCCCCTCCTCCTCATCCTCCTCCTGCTCCCTTATCCCGCCCGCTCGCGGGTGCGATAAGGAACGGGCGGAGGGCGGCACTTCCCTCTGGGAGTTCGTGGTCGTTCGTTGTCGTCCTTCGTGTCTCGTTTCGTCTTCGTGTCCGTCGCCCCTTCCCTCTTTGGGAGTTGCGACACGGCCCTGGATTAAGTTCCAGGGTGGACGTTGTTTGCGCTCCTGGGCCGGAGAGTGGCCCTTCCCCCTCCCCGCCCTGCTGCCGCCGCTGTCGCCGTTGCAGCTGTCAGGCCAGGGTTTTTAGTGCCCTGCCACCTCGGCCAAGAGGTGCGGCCTCGCGGGGAGACCCCAGTGGCACGCACCTCCTGGTCTGAGGTGTACCGCCGTTGACGATCACGGAGGCGGGGCCCGCGGCTTCCCGCCTGCAACCTCTTGGTTGCAGTGCTCTTTGCCGCGGGCACACTGTTGCCGTGCTTGTGAGGGTGCGGGCGCTGGGCAACGCTCCGTGTATTGCCCCTTGGGCGCCGATCCCGAACCCCCGTGCGCCATTTTGGCGCGGGGTGTAGGGCGGTCCTTGGTTTGCTTTCTTTTCCTTGATTTCCTCCCTAAGGCACAGCGTTGCTGGCGCTATTGGGAGTTAGTCAAGGAAAAGAGGCCGGAGGTCAGGTCCGAGCTTGTGTCCGTGATTCCCTCTTTTTGCGCGAGTGCCCTTGGTGTTGGCCGTTGGCCACTTTGGCCGTTGGCCAGGGCACGTTGGCCCGCGCTTTGCTGAGCGCCACGGTTTTGTTTTGCCTTTTGGGCCCTCGTTCTCCTCCCCCTCCTCTTCCAGCTGAGATCCTGGCGCTGCAACTTTTGCACCCCGGGCGGTTTCGCCCAATTGCGGGCCCCGGGGCCCTCGCAGTTCGATGCGGCCCGAAACTTGAAGTTGGAAGATGGGGTCCCGGGCTTCGGTCATGGTTTTTCGCGATGTTGAAATTTTTCGCAACGTCGGATCTCAGGGGAGGTATGAGATCGAGGTCGGTTCGGGGAGGGTGTACCCGAATGTTCTTCGTGTTTGTTGGGTGCTCGTGTGCACCCTGGGGTGCTTTGGCCTGCGGAGGGCTTGAATTCTTGAAGGATGATCTTCTGCCCTTGGGTTGTCCCAAGGTGGGGGGTTGGGGAACATAACCAGGGAGCCGACGCTCCGGCAAAGAGTGGTGCGGTCGTTTTTTTTGGCCATGTTCAGCCTGCGGGTGCTCTCGCCAGGCCCAAGGACCGTCAAAACACGACTCGGGACGAAAAACCAGCCCCAGGGAAGTGGTCCAAGCCTCTGGCGCCCATTCATCGAAAACATTGGAGCGGCCGGATGTCTAGGGTGATCGCAAGGTGGGGGCTCGTTGAACATACAGTAGGCTCATGCGGCGTTGGAGCGCTGGTGACGCGGGCGAAGGCGTTCAAGGTTGAATTCTGCGACGTGGCAGCACCGAGGGACACGGTGAAGCCACTGGACCAGACGGAATTCAACCTTAAACGATCGGGGCCTCGATCGTTACAAGGTGGAATGATCGGCACGGTGTCGAAAATCTTTGCGCGCGCCGACGCCACACGAACCTACCGTGTCCAGCGGGATACCCAGACACCCTCGAGTCAGGAAAAGACCATGACGGAGGGTTTTTCGCTCTTTTCCGCCCCTGGGGGCACTCGATGGACCTCGGGACCGTCAAAAAACGACTCGGGATGAAAAGCCAGTCCCAGGGAATGGGTCGTGACCTTCGGGGGCCGACATTTTGCAACACATCGTAACAATCGACCGAGGGTATGGATAGGTACCCACATCTCCTTCCTACACGGGCCGTTTTTGAGCGATTCTCCCTCCAACCGCACCTCTGCCCCCGTACCTCAACCTTTTGTCCCCCCCGACAGGGCGGTGGCGGCGGCGGGGAGCTCCGGGGCCGAGTGGACGCTCCAGGCCAGCCGCGCCGGAGTCCATATGCGCTTCCGCCAGGGAAGCGCGAGACTCGAGGATCGAGGATCGAGGGGCAGGATCGAGGAGCAGGATCGGGGAGGATCGAGGAGGAGGAGGAGGAGGAGGATCGAGGATAGCGTCGAGAACCGAGGGTCGAGGAGGACGAGGAGGAGGAGGAGGAGGAGGAGAAGCGAGTTCGCCAGAGCTCAGGTTTGCCCTCGCTGTTTCACGGACCCTTTTCTGAGTTTGGGCAGTCCAGTTTTCGTGGGATGGTTGCAGCGGGAGCTCGCGTCTGATTTCGGATTTGGTCTTGTCGTTTTCGATGGCCCCGTCAGGCCAACCCGAGCCTCCCAAACCCAGGTCTGACGTCTCTCCCACTCAGGGCCCTTGAGATAAGGGCATTGCAGACCAGGACTTTCTGGTGACAGAATCGTGACAACAACACTGCGTGCGCAACCGCCACCGTGCTGAGCGTAGTGGACATTCGTCAGCCGAGCAGGAGTCGTTCAGAAAAATATGTGCACGACGTTTCGGGCGACGACCTGCATACCTTAGTGCATCTATACGCGGCTCTCAGCCCTGGGGATTCCAGTTAAGAAGAGAGCTAGGAATGGAGAGCGTGTTAACCCGCGGCTGTGCTTTCTTCCGGGCCCGCCCAGGTCCTGGTTTGCCAGAGTCCCCGTCCACGGGGCCTCGAGTGCTGTTGCAACCACCGTCGCGTGTTGCCGAAGGTGCCCCCCCCCCTCCGCGGCCGCCGTCTCTTGCACGCTGGCGGATTCGCTTTTCGGTGCCCCCATCTAGCTCTGGCGCTGGTGCAGGCAACTCTGCCTCGCTTTCGACAAGCAGATGTTGCCGAAGGTCCCAGCTTCTGGGGCCCCATGGGGCCCTCGGGGCCTCGTGAGGGGCGCCCGGGAGGCCGCCTGGGCCCCGTGGGACACCCTGGGGGCATCTCGGGCCGGGGATACCTGTGGCAACGCTGGACAGGGTTGGGCATGGTGCCAGGGAGGCCTCCTCTTCCTCCTCCTCCTCCTTCTCCTCCTCCTCCTCCTCGTCCTCCCCCTCCTCCTCCTCCACCTCCTCCTCCTCCTCCACCTCCTCCGCCACCTCTGCCTCCTCCGCCTCCTCCGCCTCCTCCGGCTCCTCCGCCTCCTCCTGTTCCTCCTCCTGCTCCTCCTCCTCCTCCTCCTCCTCCTCCTCCTCCTCCTCCTCCTCCTCCTCCTCCACCTGGCAACACTACTGGAGGCAACATGGGTTGGGCATGGTGCCAGGGAGGAGCAGGGTCTGATTTCTACTGGCTGGTTGAGCTCCGTGCCCCTGGGGGTGCGACGCCGCCTTTTCACAACATGGGATCCTCTGGAGCTTCCAACTGGTGTTGCCAATCGCCGTGGATAGCCTCGCGTGGCGTCGCTCACGGCCCAGAGGCCAGATCGTCGAGAGGGCAGCTGGCCTGCCTCATCATGGGCGCTTTCTCTCTGGCTGCCCTCGCATGCAGCAAGGATGCCCTTCCGTGGCCCGGGGACCCCTCTTGGCTCCCAGGAGTGTTCGCCCGGCCGGCCAGGTGAAGGCCAACGTGGACGCGATCCTCATTGCCGCGTGCATGCTGAGCATGATCTTCTTTGCTCCCACGGTCGCCGCGGCAGCGCCGAAAGGGGCCGCGAAGTCGCCCGCGTACGTCTCGTCGCGGTCCCCTCCTCCCGCCGCCATGCGGGCGCCTCCGGGCGGGTCGACGTCCCCGAGGCCTGCGGAGCGGCCGTGATGGCCCAGAGGGCGGGCGAGACGGCGGCAGTCCGCGGGGCATGCTGGGGTCTGCTGGGGCACTTCACGCCCGGCTGCTTAGATTGCAGGAGCCAGCGGGAAAATAAGCGTGTGTAGCTACTCTGAGCAGCAAGATCTATCAGGAAGGCTCGGGCAAGGAGGACACCGACAGAAGGAAGGGTCCTCACGTTTGTGGAGGGGCGGCAGCCCAAATTCCACGCTGGTGCATGTTGGCCACTTCCTTCTGCCACCCTTCCATTGGTCCAGCCCAGACCAGGCGTTGCTTCAGACATGGGAGCCGTCTGCATCCACGGTCTGGAATTCATCAAGTGCTTGCGTGCAGCAAGCCTGGAGCTCGTTATGTTTTTTCCCGCTGGCATGCGACGTGGATTTCGGAAGCCACCTCGATGGAAAAGTGCTTGTTGTTGTCGTTGGCGCCATGCTCTGAGCAGGAGGTTTCAACGCGTTGTTCACACGATCGTTGTTGAACGTTTGCGCCACTTCTGGGCGGAGCATTCCGAGTCCGTGCAGCCCCAGATCTGATGTGCAGTTGTGCCAGCGCCGTTGCCCAGTCAGCCCCCCCGGACAGGTTTCAGCCTGGGGGCTGGGGGAGCCAGCTCCTGACCCACCGAAAGCACGTCAAGCAGTTGTTCCGTGACCAGCGCATGCCAGGCGGTTTGATCTACGTGACGCGGTGGGCTCGGGGCGAGAGTTGGATACACGCGTGGCCGGATATCTTTCCAGCGCTCGCCCCCTCTGTTGCCGTGCACTCTGACGACCTTGGCGAGTCCAAGTGGGCAGGAAGCGGCTTAGGCACCCTCCCGGCGAGGAGGCGCAACACATGGGCTGAGGCGCGTGGGGCCCGCGGCGGGCCTCGCTCCGGCACGACATCGGCGCGCTCCGTCGCCCGATCGCGCGGCACTGGCTTCATGTGCCGGGGGGTCCTGCCCGATCCGTGGACCCAGCACCCACGCGCCAAGTCCACGGATCCGTCATCGACATCATCGCGCGCCCGGTCGCAGCATCCCAAACTCTCCGAACACCCCGCCCCTGACTCATCAGCTTACGCCGCGCCGCCGACCCGCTGGGGAGCCCTGGGTGCCACATTCTTCCAGTGGGCGTTGCCGTAGAAGCGTGTTGGGGCCGTGCGTCCATCTGAGGCGGGCCGGACTGGGCCGTCCGGGAGCCGTCTGGGGGGCCTCTTGGGGCCTCTCGGGCCCCGCTGGGGCTCTTCCTGGTGGCCTGCCATGCCAGCAGCAGCTGATCGGGGGCCCCCAAACGGTGCGGTGACCACACCGTGCGGTGAGTCGGTGGGGATTCGGGGTCACCGCACGGTCTTGGGACTCGGGCCCCCTCTCCGAGGATGTCTCGGGGCGACAGGGGCCTCCAGGGTCCCAAGACCGTGCGGGGACGGACCGTGCGGTGAGGTCTCTCGGGGTTCCGAGGTCGCCGCACGGTCTGTCGCCGCACCGTGTCGGGGCTCCAAGCAGCACCGCCCCCGGGGAGGCCAAGAGGGCGCCGATGCCGTCGCGCCAGGAGTTCGGGGCGAATCCAGCTGACCGGCGACGCGAGGGCCGCCCAGGGAGGAACACGAGGGAGGCACACGAGGGAATCCTGGCGGCATGGGTGCCTTTCACGAGCACCGCGCACCTCCTCCTCCTCCTCCTCCCTCCTCCTCCTCCTCCTCCTCCTCCTCCTCCTCCTCCTCCTCCTCCTCCTCCTCCTCCTCCTCCTCCTCCCCCTCCTGCCTCCCTCCGGGCCCCGCACCTTTCACGAGCACCGCGCCTTCGATGCTTCTCCCGCGGCCCCTCCCGGCGGGCACCAGGGCACGCGAGTCGCGCCTCGGCTGGCGCGCCTCGCCGAAGAGACGGGCAGCCTGGCATCGCTCGGACGTGTGCATTTTTTCTCGGCGAGAACCACTGAGGACGATCCTGGACCATCCAGCAACAAAAAAACACGCACGAAACCGACAAATGCACGGGAAATGGACGTCCGAGCGATGGCGAGGCAGGCATGCAGCTCGCGCGTGCGAGGTCGCGGCCTCCGCGCCGAGCCTTCACGCGGGCACGGGCGGGCTCCCTCGCGGAGCGCGCGCGCCTCCCGCGTCCGCCTCGCCTCGCCTCGCCTCGCCTCGCCGTCCCTCCCGGCGTGCCGCGCGGGCACGGGCGTGCCCCGTCCTCCTCTCTCCTCCCTCCTCCCTCCTCCCTCCCTCCTCCCTCCCTCCTCCTCCTCCTCCTCCTCCTCCTCCTCCTCCTCCTCCTCCTCCTCCCCTCCTCCTCCTCCTCCTCCTCCCTCCGCCCTCCTCCGCCCTCCTCCTCCTCCTCCTCCTCCTCCTCCTCCTCCTCCTCCTCCTCCACAGGCCCCTGCAGAGTCTGCACGGGCGCGCCCTCGCCGCGGCGCCGGGCGGGCGGGCGGGGCGCACTGGTTCGTTCCAGAAAGTGCGCCAGAGCCCATGGGGGAAAAGAATGGCGTCGTGCCTCGTGGGGCATGCCTCGGGAGGCCTCCTCGAGGCCTCCCTGCGGCGTGCTGGGGAAGGCCCCTTTTGGACAGTCGTGGGGCCGTCTTGAGATTCCTGTTGCGATCCTGGGGCGCATCGGGGGCCTCTGGAGGGCCGTCTTAGGAGGAGGAGGAGGAGGAGGAGGAGGAGGAGGAGGAGGAGGAGGAAACGGAGGAAACGGAGGAGGAGGAGGAGAGGAGGAGAGAGGAGGAGGAGGAGCCTCCTGGGGGCTCTCTGGGGCTGCACGAGGTCACGCGACAGCGGCTCCTGGAGCCCATGGGGGCACGCGCCAAGGCCCGGGAGATTTGAGAGTTTGGGGCCCCCGGGCTCTTCAAAACTCTTCGGGAGGGAGGCTCGAGGCTTGGAGGCTTAGGCAGAAAGGAGGAGGAGGGAGGAGGAGGAGGAGGAGGAGGAGGAGGAGGAGGAGGAGGAGGAGGAGGAGGCGGAGGGGGGAGGAGGAGGAGGAGGAGGAGGAGGAGGAGGAGGAGGAGGAGGAGGAGGAGGAGGAGGAGGAGGAGGGACGGACAGAGGAGGGAGGAGGAGGGCGGCTACGCCCGTGCCCCGCGGCTCTGTGGCGGATGCGCGCTGGCTTTCCCCGGCGGTGCCGCGGGGGCGGCCGAGGCCCCGACGCGTTCCGCTGCGGGGACCCCCTGCGGTCCCAGCCGAAGCGCGTCGGCGATCTCGTGCTGCGCGTGCTGGTCTTCCCCGCCGGCACGGACCCGGCGGGGCCGCCCACGATCCGATTCGATGCGATGCGATTCGCCGGCTGGGGCCGCGATTCCGGATTTGGTGCGATGAGGCTCTATTCACCGGCATCGGCCAGGGTCAGCCAGAAGCGGGGCGCGGCGATCCGTTGCCGATCCGATTCGAGACGATTCGCCGGCGATTCGATCCGCTAACGGTCCGATCCGATTTCGCCATCCGATCCAGCGCAGACCTGCCCGGCGGAGTAAGCTCCGGTCAGGCCCTGAAATCTTGGCGTTGCAATTTTTTCACACCGAGCGTTGTCGCTCAATTTCGGGCCCAGGACCGTCACAGATCGATCCGGCTTGAGAAAGGATACAGACAGATGGGGACAATGGCTCCGGGCGTGATTTTTCACGATGTTGCAATACTTCCGCTATGTCGGATCTCAGGGGAGGCGGAAGAGGTACCGATGCTACTACACCCTTGCCGTGCTTTCGCCTTTTTGGGGGGGGCCTCCCTGGTCGGAACGCGCCCTGGGAGAGGTCCAGGGAGCAGCGGCATCGGTGCCTTCGTGTCCTCCTCCTCCTCCTCCTCCTCCTCCTCCTCCTCCTCCTCCTCCTCCTCCTCCTCCTCCTCCTCCCCCCTCCTCCTCCTCCTCCTCCTCCTCCTCCTCCTCCTCCTCCTCCTCCTCCTCCGGGGTTCCGGTATAGCGGGGGCCGGCGCCAAAAAGGGGTGCCAGCCGCTCCCCTCCGGGATCCCCCTGAGCCACCTGGGGCCGACCCCGCTCCCCCTCCTCCTCATCCCTCCTCCTCTTCCTCCCTCCTCCTCCTGCTCCTCCTCCTCCTCCTCCTCCTCCTCCTCCTCCTCCTCGCTCGCTCGCTCGCTCGCTCGCTCGCTCGCTCGCTCGCTACCTAAGGGCCTAAGAGGTTCGAAGCCCCTGCTTAAAAGGATGAGAGAGAAGGCGAAGACAGCACCCCAACATGCACATGCAGAGGAAGGGGGAGGGTGAGATGAGGGACTCAAGAGCCACCGTCCACAGGCCTGCCCAGGTAGGCCTGCACCAGGAGCGCCGCGGCGAGTCCGACCGCCGACGCAGGGAACTGGCTCGAATCACGGGGGGGGGGGGGCGAATGGCCACGGCTATGATGGCAAAGTCCGCCAAACACCCCAGGCACGAAAGCGTCCAAGGACGCAAGACCCTTGGCCACAACAAGGCTAGGATACAAATGCGGGGCCCCGAAAGAACACATATCCACCACAACCGAGGCCACCCCATCGCACTCAAGCAGCCCCGTAAGCTCAGGAACTTTCTGGCACTCCTGCGGAATCAACAACACAAAAGGCAGATCATACTGCAAGCACAGCATGCATAAAAGAAGGGCGGCCTGCAGGGACTCGTTGTCCTGACCTACCTCCTCCCCTTCCCTTTGAGACAAGCGGTCACAGCCCCAGGGCCTTGCCTGAGAGCGAACGGTGTGTCGTTGAGGTCGCCACGTTGGAAGGTGAGGTGCTACCAGAAGTCCCGCGACCTCGCCCTCGGCCAACCTACCCTCCCAGGATTCGACCTCATCCCGTTCTGGCCGGGGAGCACGAAGGGGACTTGGAGCAAGGGGGTCCATGCGGCAAGGGGCATTAAAGGCCCTCACCATTCTACCGTCCTCGGCCTGCTTCCCTAAGAGACCCACGAGCTGAGCATTTGGGCGGGTGACCACGCGATCGCACGCCAAGGGGGGCACCGCGCCGTCCAAGTCAAAAGGGAAGCGGGGAATGTCGACACGCTCAGGGGGGGGGTCAAACACCCTCACACGAAAGGGAGGCCCGTAAACCTTTTGGGCAGGGACGAGGGCATACGTGTCCGACTTGCCCCTTCTCCGATTTTCCCGAGCCTCGAGCTTTCGCTGCTCCACGGCCTCTTCCAGCTCAGCCTTGCTGGGTCTCAAGGGGGAGGTCAACCACGCACGAAAACAAGCAGTGGACCTGTGGAGATGCTTAACCAGTCGTCCCCCCTGCCGAAACTCCACGCAGCAAATGGGGCACATCGAACCAGTGGCCACCATCTCGGGGGCATCCACTGGCTTGTGCTGTTTGGATCTGTGGATCCTGTACAGGCGAGCCGTGCGTGCAACATGACCACACTCATAGCACAAGAATCCCTGAGCAGTCTCGAGTGCAGGCGGAGGTGGCAAGGCCTCATTATCCTGCGGTTGGCTGCCCCTAGAGGGGGGGAGGGGCTCAGAGCCTGTCGGTGCTTCCGCCCGAGCCCTGGCTGGCTCGGCACTCGTGACTGCGTCACTAAGTTTGGAAGACGTCACACCCTCGCCCAAGACCTCAAGCAGCTGAGGCAAATCCTCATCAAGCTGCTGAGAGGAGGCGAAGGTGCCCAGCTGAGCCGAACTGGCTCGCTGAGCCTGCTGAAGAATAATGCGCAAAGATGGGCACTTGAGTTTCTTGATTGCTCTCTGTTGCCATTGTCGATGCCGTAGCAGAATGTCCCAACATCTTTTTGCGCTAGCAGCAGCCTGAGCAACGATGGCTAAATATTCGCGCTTGTCCGACCGAGCCAGACGGATCCAAGAGTCATCATCAAACCCGTACTGCCTATCGTCTGCCTGCAGGTACTGCCTGATCCATCCAAAGTCTTGCCTTACGAGGCGCGCCCAACCCTTGTCCCACATGAAGTCGAGTAAGAGCCGCACCAAAGGGGGCGCGCCAACAAGAATCCTGGGAAGTAGCCTAAGCCGCGCAACTGTCATCACGATGTGCATAGGTAGCCTCTTGACTGAAACTAAGACGTCAACTAACGATTCATGAACTTCACTGCAGTTCAAGGCGCCAAAGTTCAACGGGGTTCTGTAGATTGACATGTACCCAGTCACTGCACGGTTGTATAGGTACCGTGGCAGATGATCCCACGTACCGACCGCAAACAGGAATTTGGAGCCCGCATAGGCTTCGCTGTATCTGACTTTATGCGTCATGTCTAACTGCGTACAGGTCGCCACAACTTTCTTTATCGGTCTCAAGGCCGATCGTGAACTTCGAATTCGCTCCGTAATTTCGTCACTCATGGTACCACCATCGTTAAAACGCGCACCGGGCACTTTGTGCACCCTCACAATTGGCACTCGAAAATCATAAAGGTCACTACACAAATGGCCGACTTCTTTGGTGTGAAATTTTCGGGCTTGAGCTCTGGCACCAGTCCCTCGAAAGCTTAGCATTACAGCAGTTTTGCCAAAGTTCAGTTTAAATCCATGCTTTGTGCAATGCACGTATATGATCTCAGTCAGCCTTATTATCTTAAAGTCGAGCTCCGCAGCCGACGCCGCCACCAAAGCCGTGAGGTCATCAACGAAGGAAGTGCTGGAGTGAGGTTTCTCCAGGTCAGAATCTGAGCCACAATGAGCTACGGAGGGGGGGGGGGGTCCAAACCAGGCCCTCCTGGGCGGCCTGCAACTCCACGCGTCCCTGGATCCGCGCGAACAGGACATTGAAAACGTCCGTGGCAGGGATGGTGCCAGGGCGGCACCCACGACCAGGGCATTCAAAACCTTGAGCCCCGCGCACACGCCAGAAGCTGCCGACCTGACTCTCACGCACAAGCTCGAGCAGATGCGGGGGCATACCCACATCGTCCAGGGCCCCCCCCGCTTCAAGCTCAGCCTCCAAACCCGCGCGCACGAAAGGCCCCAACTCATCGTTCAGGAGCGCATCTTCAAGCCTGTCCGACTCACGGGGGAGGGAGAGGCACAGCTGCTTGAGGGCAGAGTAAAAGGCCGCGTGCAAATCAACAAAAACACCCCCCGCAGAGAGACCACATTCCTTGGTGGCGTTCCAGGAGGATCTAATCATCATGAGAGCCCCCTCCAAGCCGCGACCTGGGAGACCTCCACACTGCACGCTCAGGATCGCTCGCTCCACGAACCTGAGCGAGGCTTGACGGAGCATTTTGTGATGCAATTTACCTATGGTACTGCCTAACAACACATTGCGCTGGTTGGGCATGAGGTTGGTCGCTCCTTTACCTTTGTGAAAGAAAACAATCTCTCCGCTCTTGGATCCTAATGGTTCTCTCTGATGCAAGCACGTCTTGAGCAGGAGAGGATAGACAAGCCTAGCAACCTCCTCGTTGGCACATCTGCCAAGGTCAGCCACTATGCCATCTATGCCAGCAGCCTTGCGGGGAGGACATTTGCGAAGGGTCTGCTCAGTGTTGGAGAGAGTTGGGAGGTACTCTAGTATCGGCCCAGGCTTCGGGTCGGGATGCCTGCTCACCAAGTTATATTCTTCACACAACTGCTCGCAATCGACGCTCTTCGCAACTTCTATCTGGGCGAAGTATTTGTGGGCAATCTGCGCTATTTTCACGTGGAGTCGTCGACGCATGTCCCTGAGCATCAAGCATGTCTGGAAAACCGATGCCTTTCTTGGGGGGGTTGCCTCCGAAACGCAAGGCACGATCGAGCGCGGCCCATTCCTTGGCAGGAACGTGCCCGTCAATTGCAATCGACACCTCCCCCAACTGTCTCACAAGAAAGTCGGCCCGATCTTGGTGCATATTGTCCATCAGTAGCTGCTGAGATGTCAGCATAAAGCCGTTGAGCGAAAGGTGGAGCAGATCAACATGCAGTCTCCTCCTAAGAAAGGACTCAACCCAAGAGGCCAGCTCCATCCTGGCCGCTCCCCATTGCTGGTGATGGCCCACACTGCTCAAAGAAAGATCGCCCGCGTGTAATCTAGAGGCCACATGCCTAAGCACCCTAACACGATAACCCTCTCCCCCCATAGCCTGCTTGACCAGGGCCTTTTGAATAGCTCTGCGAGTCGCAATGAGTGCAAGGGTAGAGGCAGAGAGGTAGCACGCGCGAGGGCGACGCTTCTCCAATGGAAAAGCCTTAGCAGCAGCAGTATGCAGCTCATGAACAACGGAGGTGAGGTGCTCATTAACTCCGCTCTCCCAGGCCGGCACCGAGACGGCCCCGAGGAAACCACGAAAGCTGGATACACCAGCAGCGTCCGACATCTTATTGTGATC